TCGACCTGAAAAGCTACACACCGCTGCCATGAAAAAAAGAGAAGAAAACAAATAGCTGTGAAATATTTTCAAATCATCAAGAGATAATATCTTAGCGATTAAATGGGAAAGTAATTAATTTGCCAAACACAGCCTTGTGCCAAAGAGGATATGAGTAGAGCGGCTAGTGGTTTGTTGGCAGAGAGAAATAAATGCTAGATCATAAAAGAATGATTCATTTATTATTACTAGATTGAATAACAAAAGCATTGCGATGAAAATACAATAAGTGCGAGATGACGACGTAATCTAATGTTTAGTGTTAGATGCAGTCCTCAGAGTTTCCAGATTTACTTTTAAAGATTCAAAGTTATTTACCCATAAGTTCCTCTTTAGCCTATCCTAGTTCAGTTCAGGTCTGAAAGTTTCTAAACAGCTTTTACCATTACTCAGAGCATCTAACTGTAATAAGTTTGAAAGAGGAAGCTGCATTATTCCAGGCAGACTGAGAATAAGAAGTGGAGAATCGATAGAGACGGAGGCGCTGCTCTGTTGCTTCATCCCTTGAGGCTTAATTCACCGGATGTGTAAAGACGGCCGTGTCACAATAGGGGATCAGGCGGGATTGACCATGGATGAAAATGTAAGAAGTGTTTATTAAACTGATGTAGCTGAAGATGAAGACAGAACGGGCCATGGCGGTCAGAAGGTCGAGGCTGAGATGAGCGTAATGGTTCTTAAAAGATAACGTCAGGACAGGCTTTGATGGAAACATTGATTCAATTACACAAAGTCTAACCTCTTCAAGAGAAAGTCAGAATGAAGAGAAAACAGTATTACATATTAGAAGGTACAAGAACTTCCATTTAGGTGCCAAATCCTTCACTTGGAACTCGAAACATTGTATAGATCGAGAGATGGATAAACAGAATTATACCTCAAAAATAGCCCTTGATCTTTTAACTCTTTAATACTCTTTGATAAATCAGTATCTTTGCATCGCAACTGTTACAATAAACTGAGCTCGGTCTCCACTGTAAGGCCAAAGCAAAGACAAAAGCTAAAGTGTTGATTCAGCTTCACAGGGATCGGGAGCGGATAAGCAGACTTTGTGGCCACACTCACATGCATGAGCGGCCAGTGTGTCCTCGCACACAGACCTCCGAGGGTCTGACCAGCTGTCCCCATCTCCACCACAAGTCAACTTAGAAAGCCCATTACTACTGTTCCATGTTCAACACGGGAGCCAGGTACAACTCCAGAATGGCCGAAGGTGGGGAAAAAAGGCTGGATACCAATTGATAAAACTCATTTAAATGGCTTGATTGAAAATGGCGAAAGAGACAAAATAATCAGAATCAATCAATACATGTTATGTCTATTTTATTGTTCCCATTAAAGAGAATGTGTCCTCGGTATTTGACAGATCCTTCGATGCCACTGGCCAGGGGAAACCTGGCAGGAGCAGTGGCTGCTATGTGCACCGCCCAGGTCCCATCTCCAGAAGTTGCCTGTGTTGCATGTTTTGGCTGGTATAGCACTAAATGTCATTAGTCAAGTTATTTCCATGTTCTTGAGTACACAACACTGCTGCTGATGTTGCTCATGTGGAGCACAGCGGCCTCTCACCTACTGACTGCAGGTGCGCTCCCAAAGACCTTTGGCTGCACACCGGTGCCAGCAGCTTTGAGCCAACAGCTGATAAGACAAAAGCTGAGGCTGCACAATGACATAATAATGAACAGGGGGGAAATATGGTAAATTATTACTCAGATATTTACCACAAGTGTGTTTCAGAGACTTCTTTGAAAGACAAAACTGAGACTGAGGCCTTTGAGGAAACTAAAACTTCCTTTGTTATCAGCACTGTGACGTCCCACTACCTAAAATCACAGAGCGTAAACAGTGCCACATGTCTGGGCACTCGTACTGCGGAGGCATACTTGTCAAACAGGATTCCCTACATTTCATTACTGTACGGAACACAATATAATAAATGAGTATTTGAGTTTTTGGGCTCACCTCCACACAAAGGTAACCATGGGGAACCAGAAAATCAACAGGCAATAAGACACAGCCTGCCTTTATCGTAGTTCAGTAGCCATAGTGACAGAGACAGCAAAGTGCTGCTGCCATGTTGCACACGTGACGCGATGGGTGCAAATGAAAGGAATTTGCATTGAAACATAAGGTTAAATGAAGCGCATGCAGCAGAGGCATGGAGAAAAAACAGCCCCTGACCCTGTGTTCATGGACCGACATGAGGCCCACATTTCATGTGGACGGCCCAGGACAGAGGGGGGGTGCAGGTTCTCGCCCGCTCACTATTTTTGTTTTCCTTTTATGTGCGCACTCTACACACGCTCCCACTCACATTGCATTGGATTTTCAACTTGGCCGTCATCAGTTTTGAGCCTGATGAAACAAACACTGACAGCCTCTTTACATTTGTAAAGGCCCCTGCAGCAGCTGGGCTTGTCCCACACACACACACGCGGTCTTTGAGTCAGGCCCAGTCCCAGCTGGGGCCTACAGGAAGAGCAGACTCTGCACAAAATGGCCCTGGTTGCATCGAGCTGCACTCGCCGCACACATTTACAAATATGCACAGTGTGTGTCATGTTTATGTAGACAGAACTACAGAGCACTAGCTACTTGAATACTCCTGTCATCGTCTCATGACCTGACAGATAAGAATTATAATGTGAGCAAAGATTGATCAAAAGATGCCTGAACACATTCAAGAAATCAAGATTCTCTGTTACAACGGCCTGACCTAAATCTACTGTGGACAGATCATATGTTTTCTTTTTTCAGAGGGAGGTGGGGTAACAACTCACACTCATGTTTCAGGGGAAATGGTTTAGCCAAGCATGTATAATTGTCTTACGCCAATTAAGGGAGGGGGAGGGTCTAAACAGAGGCAAGAGTCCGGCTCAAAAGACAGAGGTGGCTTGGCCAACAGGACGGGTGCCTCTGTGTGTTGTAAAGACACTTTTTAAAGACAGATTCGCTCCAGGCCGACCTTCAACATGAGCTGCAGCTGCTGAGAGCACATGACAGATGTGACACACATGTGTGGACACACACACACATGTGCACACACACTGTTGCTACAGTTCTGACAAGACGAATCCAAAGTTAAGATGGGGACATCATGTGGATCATTATTAAAATAGGGACTTTTGGTTAATTTGTGTAACACTTACTGTTTCTGCATTTTTTTATTTATATTTTTGAAACCATATCCAGGCCCAAAACAGTTTCCAAACAATTCAAACAGAAACAAAATCAGAAAACACAATGTGTTAGAAGTGTGAGCATAATGGTGAAATGGGAGCACTACTAATACTTACAATAAATGTGTTTTAGAAAGCAGTTTCCAATTCAGGTTTATTAATGTACCTACGTTTTAGCCAGTGAGATCGAGAAGAGAAGTGTATAACTGTTCAATAACCTAGTTCTTATTGAAAATGTCACCTCCTCATGAAGTGAACTAAGCAGTGGTTTCTTAGAGCAGAACAGTAGAAGACATTTGAGAGACTCCAGCACATGTAGACTAGTTTGGGTGAGGTGGGAGGGAGAGGGGGCGTGCTGTGCAGATTTTGGCTTGAGAGCATGAGCAGACATGATACGCTTCTTGCAATTAAACCCAACAATGCGTCTATTAGGACCAAGATGATCATCCACAACAACAATCTTCAAAGACGTGAGAGTTTAAAGGCCCAGACGCAGGCAGGCAGAAGCCCAGCCGGCGTGAAGTCAGCAGCAGCAAAAAAAACAAAAAAAAGACTACAGCAGAGCGCAACTTATGAAGCGATACGCGGACCATGGCACACTTTAGGAGATTATGACTCTTTGTTTCCTTCATGAAGCGAGACCAGCAGTTTATCTACTGACCTAACCTTTCTAACCCATAACATAGCTTAAAATCAGAACAGTTCCTTGCTGTTAAAATCCCCAGTCTAACTCGCACAAGAGAAAATGGTTGCTTCTTGTCTTCATACATGAGCCCCTGCAATGCGACTGAACGCATGGCAGCTAAAACGGGCAGTGTCCTATGTATGCATATCCAGATGATGATCCTGTGCTGCTCTAAACTAATCCTCCATTGTATCGCAAAAAATAATGCGAGTTATCCACGGGCAGGCGGCACCGACAGCCCTCAGCCCATCTGATCGCATGCAGAGGTCACACCAAGAGAGTTCAAACTAGTCTGTGAATGAGGTGTCTGGTCTTTCACTGTGTATTTCATATCAAGGGCATAACAACAAACCGAAACCGTGTCCCATCAGCGTTTCAAGTGTTTTAGATTGTGCGTAAATCCACTGAATTTCATGACCCTCCTCTTCTCCAGCTCCGCGCACACTTTGCATTGAGAGAAAAAGAGCCCAAACACTCCACCAAACATCTCGGTATTTGCACAGCCTGTAGTGCAAATATACAACAAACCGTGTGAATGCAAAGTTGCGTGTGTGATTGTGTCGTGTTTGGCTTTACGTTGATCTCACGTGCACGTTTTGGAGGAGTTTAAAGCGTCCATAAAACGCAGCTCAGCATGGGACGAAATGGAAGCCGAAATAGCTGAGCCATGGCTGCCAGGCTCGTCTCACAGCTCTCTCTCAATAGGGGAGGAAAGAGAGCGAACAAAAGCCGTAAGCAACTTCACAATGATTCAATTCCACCAGTTTTGCATTTTGTTTTTCTACAGCACACCATGCGCTTTGGACCACGCGTAAAAAGCCAATGTGGAACAGCGGTAGGCTAACATGTCGCTGTTGAAAGACTAAAAGGGAGACACTGAATAAATATTGCTGTCCCTTTAAATACGAGAATATAATTGTTAGCACATGGACGTAACTTAAACCAGTGGCCATAAATGAAAAAGTGACCCCAAAACAGCGCTCAGGACGTCTCATTGTAACCTTCACAGCCCGCGATCAAAGTTTATGCAATTTCATCAAAACGAGCAACGCAAACTTGAACACCAGCTTGGGTAGAAAAGATACGGGTGTACTTACATATTTCTTTTGGATAATATTCCTCTTGGGTCTTTCCTTACTCATTATGGAATCCCCAAAATGTTTGGCTCTAGAGAGAATGGCCACATGAATTTCTTTCTTTGACTCTCGCCTTTCCCGGAGCACCACCAAATGACGATTTAAATCCCCGGCTTGATAGGAAACGCTTGCAGCTCCCGATGTTTTCCACGGACGAATTGCTTTAAATCCCAAAAAAAAGATCAAGACTCGACGACAAATGCAAACGGTCTGGAGCCAAACTCACTTGGGGATAACATAGTCAAAACAAATGCACAACAATAAGTTCCATTCGCCAGAGCAGCTCGGCTTCCACTCGCCTTTGCGCACTCGCTCCCGGCTCTTGACAAATACATGAATACGCGACACGATCCTGACAAGTCACATCTTGTTTCTGGTTCACAATGAGACGGTAAACCAATAAATAAAAGGAAAATAAAAGATCAGTAGTCGCGTCCTTTGCTGGAGCCTGCGGTCGACGAGAGAGCTCTCCAGCGGCACGGCTCTACTGAGTGACTGACTGAGGCTGTGGAAGAAAGAAGCCGATCCACCAATCAGAGCGCACGCTGCAGCGGCAACTTTAAACCGACGCACAGGACTCCGAGCGGCGCTGGAGACGAGACTTTACTAAACAGTGTGCTTTACAATCACAAATGTACAGTGGGATAATATCAAACCTCTGCATTACCTGAACGTGTCTTAATAGATCCACAGAGAGTCTATAGATATGAAAAAGGCCGTATGCCTTCATTTCCTGCCATGTTAAAAAGTATGAGTACTAAAATAGGCCGTGTCTGTTGTGAAAAGACTTTTGTATGGGAGTCCAGCACAAGCATTCTTTTTTTAATTTACATTTAAGTATTTTCATCATTCCAATAGTCAAAGAGCAATTAGCCCTTTGTTTGGTCAAAGTCACATTCCAGGCCAGATAAAGAGGTGAAATCAAAAGGGCTTTCCAAAGTTTGATGTAAATGAGATCACCATCCCCCACACTTCACACTTATTCACAAGACCTGCAAAAGAAGTTAAACATTAGACCAAAGACTGTGAAGAGTCAAACATCAAAGAAAACCATGGTTTCACAAGTGATATTTAGATTTATGTAATACATCCCCTCTATATTTATTTTATATTTTTTAAGTCATATATTTGAATCAGGAAAAAACTTTTTTGCAGTTGTTGGTTCTAGTTTCCATTGCAATAAAAACATTGTTATGAGTTTTACCACTTCATCCTGCACTAGTCATTCCCGCCATGTTGCCTGTTTACATTTTGCACCTGCACTAGGCCTGGGCCTCGTCCAGTGACAAGGTGGAAATGTCCCCATTAAAGGCAACAGACCAGGGTTAGGGTTCGAGTGGGTTAGGGTGGATACTGGGTGTGGAACCTCTCAGGTGTCGAATGGTCTAAGGTGCAGAAAGACTTGGAGGCAATAAAAGTGGGCTCACAGTAGTGTCATTATCAGTGATCAGTGAGTGGGACAGTTGCCTCACCTCAGCACCTGTTTGGTGAGTGTGTTTCACATTATACTGTATCAGCAGGTTTTACACACATAAACTGTTTTATTGGAATGCCATCCATCCCGATATAGATTTTCTTCCGCTTTATCCATTGATGGATAGCAGGGGCCGCAGTGGCATCTACACCAAGCCCCAGAATTCAAAGATGTCTATCCATTCAAGTCCTGGCCTTTGCTCATTGGCACATGCTCGCATGGACGTCGACATACACGGAAAAGACACATTTTGGCCAGCTCTGGTTCTTCCAGTCTTGTGCAGTAGGCAAGAGGTGGTTCAACTTTTGTTTAAACACATGAGCGTTTAAACAAATCAACGCTGACTGTGGGACAAACATCACTCATTTGCTTGTGCGTAGAGGAACATGTGAACATTCTGGCCAACCAGCACGCACGTTGATTGGTCAGGGATCCACAAAAGAGTGGAATTATGGAAATCAAATGGACTTCTAAAGAAAAACATAAAAATCCACAAAAAGTCTGACTTTTGGGAAAGCTGTGGGTAACTCGTTTTAGTGAACATTGAGGTCAATGGGGGGAAAAAAATCCGTACAGCCCCCGTGAATTAAGGATGCAGTGCCTCGAGTGGCCCCTTGTCTAACCTGGAAAATGGTTTAAATTAAGTTATTGTCCTTGTAGGGAAATGTCTCTTCTGCATTTGACCCATCTTGCTTTGCCACTAGGGCCACAGTTAGGGGCAGTGAAGCACCCGGGGACCCATTTCCAGATGTTGATCATCACTTCCTGTGCTTTGAGTATTTGACTGATTGTACCCACACAGACACTCCACTCATAAAGGCCATTTGTAAATTTATCCCAGAGAAATACTGTTGTCCTTCCAACGTGCCCTGGATCTTCCCTGGTCCCAACTCCCAAGCCATCTCAACTGGAGAATCTGTTGCTGTGGAGACACAGCAACAGATTCCAACACTACTCCAAGCTTCTCCTGTGTGACTGAGATTCTCACCGATGACCATAGGTGAGGAGGCCAGGAACATAGGGAAACACAGGGAAATCGAGGTCTTTGCCTTTGGATTCTGCTCTCTCGTCATCACTACAGTCTGATACAGCGGCCGCTTCACTGCACACGCTGCACCGATATATTGCTCTATCTTTCCCACACTCCAAAGACCAAAAGAAAGACCAAATCCTTACCCTATTGCAATGTTTTTAATGGGAGCATTTGTGCCAGGTCACCACTGTGCGGACTGTCCGGGGTCCTCGTGCTTGGTGAATGGAGACGTCTGCAGAGTGACAGGTGTGGAATGAGAAGGTGCTGTTTGACCCGATTCCACTTTTATGTGCACACTGCCTACCAAGTCATTTTGCCCCTAATACCCCTCTGCACCCAAACCTTTCCACATAGTATCATGTCCTAAACTGTGAACATACCCTTAAAAATGTATTGGGTATCAACTGATGTTGACCCGGGTCACTTATGTGGATACTGGATGGAGCCTGGCTCAGTGTTGGTGCGAAATGGAGACAGGTGTTGAGTGACGAGTGCAGAACGAAAAGGTGCGGTTTAACTTGTGCCTGTACTTTCACTGCAAAATAAAGCTAAATCTTTCCAGTAGGAATGCAGAGCTGTTGAAAATAATTTGATCAAGAAGAAAATGTAAAAATGTTAGATGTTTAACATTCCTCACAACCAAAGGCGTACGGTTTATTACATAATTTTTTATTAAAAGGCCGTGGTTGTAAGATTAGATCTAGAAGCAGTATGTATCTGACAATAATTAGTTCATATTGGCTTCATACTTGTACTGTAAAGAGCAGTTTGCTTCTCTACAGCTTACTTCACAATTTGCATCCAGCAATTTACAGCCCCAATCTGCCGGCATGATTAAGAAATATTAAAAACGGATTTCACCATCTCCCCCCGGCATCGGATTAGCATCAATCTCCAGCATCTGCGCTATTATGCTTACTCCATTATCATCTGTGTAACGAGAAAGAGCCATCGATTCCTTAGCTGTTTGATGTAGATTTAGCATAGCATGGCAAGCGATCAAAGCAGCGAAGTTAGCCATGAATGTTCGAACAAAGACACTAAATCAATATATGGACACTCAATAATTCTAAGCAAGTGGAGGATGACATGATATTTATGTAGCCCCCAGCCCCACCCCTCGCCCATATAGCTTATAATGTATGACAAACTCAGAGGGGTTAGCCAACGTACAGATAAATGGTTGATTATTGCAATGCCATAAATATTTGCGGCACCATGTCATACACAGTAAACCACAGCAGTGCTTTTACGCATATAGGGCCATGTATTATTGTTTTAGTTCAGTAATCAATGGTGTCTTGTCCTTTGACGACTGCAGAGAATGGTTATTTTGAGCTGATCCGGTTAGAGACGTGCCTTAGCCCCATCGCCCCGCTCTCGGAGGGGGGTCACTGAGGTCCTCTGCCCCGCTGGTGCTGACATTTAGGCCCGCATGAATCAATGAGACAAGCAGCACAGGGGGAATTTTACAGCCACCACTCCTCACATGGTTTACATTTAGAGCAGAGAGAATTTAGTCTGATGGTGCACTTTGTGAATGTACCAAAAAAAGGTTTCGATGTACTTACTGTAGATTAGTTGCAATTCAGTGTTGATGTTGTGGGGCTGCCTGGACATTATGCAATTACAATGTCAGATGCTAAGTTTCCCACATAAACTAAACTCATTTCTCATCTCTTTCATGTAGTTCACAAAAGATGTACTTGTAAAATGCGTAGCAAGCACATCTGCAGCAACTTAACAAAAAGGTAAAGCAAAACCGCATTAGTAGTAGTTAAAAAAGTACCCGGTTACGTTCTGCAAGTGTGAAACAGAATCACAAAAGAACCATGAAATTAAACTTCAACTGACAGACCTGCTTAAGGCAAACCATTCAGTCTCTTACAATGTTCAAAAGTGCGAGCCGTGAGTTGTAGCACATGAGAAAGTGTGTCCTTGAAGCGACAGGGAGCAGGGTGTCCGTCCGCAGACCTCGCCGTGACTATGTGTGTGTGCATGCTTCTATAGTGTGTGATGGAGGAGGCCAGGGATTGATTAGAGCTTTCACTCTCAATGTGGTTAATTGCCCAGTGAGGCTTAGCAGACGGTGCGGGCTAGATTGATGTCCGATAGCCAGGAAGAGGAGGGAGGGAGTGTGTGTAAAAAGACGTGGACTGGAGGCTTTGTATAACCAACTGCAGCCTGGACGCCAACAGGGAGGTGAGCCGCAGAAGCTAAACTAACGTCAAAAAGGGAAATCCATACCAATGTGTGAAATGTGGCTGTTCAAAGAGAAAGACAAGAAAATATATATACTTTTGTTTTTCTTGAACATACTGCATTCTTTAAACTCAACTTTAAAGGGCTGAGCCAGTATCCCCTCACCGTTTATTTACTCAATGTTGTATTTTTACAGATTAACTTGTTTTAACCTTTGTCTTTGTGCTGAATTGCATATGTTCTAACTGTTCAAATGTCGATAGGTGCATGTCAATCTAGATCGATTTTGAGGTTTACAGAGAAGACATTTAATTCAATAGGATCAATTCTATTTGAGAAGTCACTCAAAAGCACAACAACGAAAGGCTTTGGAAATAAATCTACAACAAGGCAACACCGGAATTTTACCAAGAAAAGAGAGGACGCAGACACAGTGTCAAAAATATAATGTGTATAGAAGCTCCTGCCGCAGATACGGGCATCAATTCAAGAAACGTAAAGCTATACTTCAGAATTTGTCCAGTGAGAAA